CAAAACCAAATCCCATGGGAAGTTCCCCTTCCAGTACTCCAACGCCCTTGTGGTGTCTGTTCCCATTGGATCGCCGCCGCAGCAGATGGACATGGTCGTAGACACCGGCAGCCAACTGTCCTGGATTCAATGCCACGGCAAAGTAAGGAGAAAATCAGTGAAGCCCATGATTAATTGGTTTGACCCTTATCTCTCCTCCTCTTTCTCTTTCCTTCCCTGTAACACCACTCTGTGCAGACCCCGAATTCCCGATTTTACCCTTCCTACTTCTTGTGACCCAACTCGCCACTGCCACTACTCCTACTTCTACGCGGATGGGACCCTGGCCGAGGGTAATCTCGTCACTGAAAAATTCACCTTCTCCAATTCCTTAACTACCCGCTCCCTCCTTCTGGGCTGCGCTACGGCCTCCACCCAAAACAGGGGTATGTTGGGAATGAATACTGGACGCCTCTCCTTCATCTCCCAGGCCAAAATATCCAAGTTTTCCTATTGCGTTCCGGATCGAACCGGGTCGGATCTAACCGGCTTGTTCTACCTTGGAGACAACCCCAACTCCGCTAAATTCAAATACGTCAACATGTTGACTTTCCCCAAAAGTCGACTCTCCCCGAATCTTGACAAGTCGGCCTACACCCTCCCGATGAAGGGGATAAGAATAGGCAACAACAAACTCAACATCTCGCCCGCCGTTTTCAAACCGGACCCATCTGGGGCCGGTCAGACCATGATCGACTCCGGCTCCGATTTGACGTATTTGGTAGATGAGGCCTACAGCAAGGTCAGAGAAGAGATGGTCAGATTAGTGGGGCCCATGATGAAGAAAGGATACGAATACGCTGCCGTCGCCGACATGTGTTTCGACGGCGCAGTGGCGGCGGCGGTGGGTCGGAGGATCGGCGACATGTGGTTCCAGTTTGAGAATGGGGTGGAGATATTGGTCGGGAAAGGGGAAGGGTTATTGACGGAAGTGGAGGAAGGGGTGAAGTGTGTGGGGATCGGACGGTCAGATAGACTTGTGACTGAGAGTAATATAATCGGGAACGTTCATCAGCAGAATATGTGGGTGGAGTACGATCTAATCAATAAGAGAATTGGGTTTGGTGTTGCTAAGTGTAGTGGATTGAAGGCATGATCATGGACGGTGGAGATTCATACTATTCTTTTGTATATCTATTTTTATACTACCAAAATTTGTTGTAATAACAAAATTCATTTCGTTTGGTGAAGTATATGACTACGAAATAGTTTGTTTTTTTAAGTTCCGTACTTCCTAAATATAATTTAATGGGTTAATTTATAAAATTTGCAAAATAAATAAATAACTAAACTTGCTCCACCATTGGGCACAGTTAAAACTACCTCAGTAACATGTCCTCTATGACTCACGTAACTTACTAAGGGTGACAACTCCGACTATATATACCACATAGACCCTAACCCCTCTTGGTTAGTTCATGAATAGGACCTATATGGGTCACGGCCTCATGTATATATAGATGTGTACAATGAGGATTACATGGTGAGCCATGTTAGATATGTTAAGGGACCTCATGCATATATGTATGTCACGTGCATCGGGATTCTTCCCCTTTATGATACGAAAGAATGAAATGCGATATTTATGTTCGCCATGATATCATGCGGGCCCTTTTCTGTTCTGTGGTGTCCGGCTACGTGTAACACGTTGTGCTTGACCAAGTCAGGCCCAGGGGTATATTTATGAGCCCACCTGGTAGGTTCATGTACACGTACATGGGCCATGTGTGAAGGAGTACCACACATCCAACCCTACCCGGAATAGAAAAGCCCTCAAGGCTATGAAAAGTTAGGTCCCACTCATATATTGCATGGATAGGTCCCACTCATATATTGCATGTGTTAACGGTAGTTTATGAAAAGTAGTTTTAGACAGGTTTCTTTGAAGTAGATACCTGAATGCCAAGTATGGCTCGTAATAATCTATCTTCGGGGGCATACGATGATTCTTTCGCCATCTGAGGTGTTAATTTACCTACTAAAATATCGCCCGTCTCCATCCACGATCCCAGCATCACAATTCCATTTTTGTCTAAATTCCGAAGTAAGCGGGCTTCTATATGTGGGATTTCGTTAGTGATTCTTTCAGGTCCGTGGCTTGTCACATGAGTTTGAATTTCATATTTCCGTATGTGGAAAGAAGTATAAATATCTTCATATACCAGACGCTCGCTAATTAGTACCGCATCTTCAAAATTGTAAACCCAGAATAGAAAAGCCCTCAAGGCTATGAAAAGTTAGGTCCCACTCATATATTGCATGTGTTAAGTTTATGAAAAGTTAGGTTCCACTCAGTTGCATGTGTTTGCATTCCTAACCCCAACAGTGGGGTTGGGGTGACTTATTGAGTATTTTAGAGTATTTCATAAAATACTCAAGCTACGTGCTACCTACATTTTTTAGGTAAAGGCAAGGCGCCAATGTACGGTCGACGGCGGAGCTGAAGCCACCTTGGAAGTTGGAGACGGGATATTTTTAGGAGTTTACGGGATAGTTTTAGGAGTTTACGGGAAGTTGAAGGTTTACTTTCTTATTGTATTAAGTATTGTTTTATTTGAATTTATTTTAAATTGAGTATTGAAGGTTTATTTTCGGAGTTAGGTTTTGTTTTGGATTCATGAATATTTAGAATATTTATGAAAGACTCTTTCAAGATTATTTATGATGAGCTTCCGCTTAATGTGGGTGACGTTCACTGATTAGGACAGTGAGCTCTTTAATTAGGTTCTAGTACTTTAGTAGTGTAAAACAACCGTTCGAATCACTAGAAAACAAACTATTTTAGAAAAAGGAAATCATGTGAACTACCATATTTGAGTGTCTAAAGATCTATAACACTAAAAAGAAAAAAAATGGCAAAGTCAGAGGAGAAAAATGGGCATTTTGCTTCTGAACCCATTATAGGGGATTTCCCACAATGCACCTGCAAGAGAGAAAAGAGAGAAAGAAAGTTGAGAGAAAAACTTCACAATGCACCTGCAAAAGAGAAAAGAGAGGAAGAAAGTTCAGAGAAAAACTTGAGAGGAGAAAAGCACCTACAAAAGAGAAAAGAGAGAAAGAAAGTTGAGAGAAAAACTTGAGAGGAGAAAAGCACCTGCAAAAGAGAAAGAGAGAAAGAAAGTTGAGAGAAAAACAAAGTTGAGAAAAAAACTTGAGAGGAGAAAAGTAAACAGTTGGACTTCTCATCGGAAAACCATCATCGAAGTTCACTCTCGACCAAGACTTACACGCAGGAACTTCTTCTTAAAGAAATGGAGGACTCGTGTAGTTGAAGTTTCGTTTTCCGTCAAGATGTGAGGAATTCGCAAGGTAAGATCTCGAATGTTCATCTACATATCTGAGATCTTCCTTTGGGAATAGAGTGCTAAGTTTGATATCATCATCTAGGGAAGATCCGCCGCTGATTTTGTGAAGAAAATCGGTCGGAAGCGTTGCGATCTGAGAATTCTTACAAGAACGGTAAGGGTGCTAACGGACCTCCTTCCGACACTCATAACTCGTCGTATGATTAAGCAAAATATATATATATATTAGCACATAGTTTGTAGTACGATCTAAAACTTTGATGAAGAAATCATTTCAATTTGGAATAAATTTGGGAGATAAAAAAATGAGAATAACGTCGAAAAACTAATCGGAAATCTCATTTTTTCTGTTAGGAGGAGAGAGAAGGCGACGACGTGCCACGTGTTAAAGGGCAAGAGATTTCTCGTGCGTCGATAGCCACTAGACACGCGTCGAACGCCCCCTAAAGCGACGTGGTTCTATTCTTCCAGCGACGCGTGTCTACGGCAGTGCCAACCCGACTCGCATTCCTCAGCTGCCCCGATACCCGCACGACGAACCAAACTGCAGTGACCCACGGTCTAACCCAACCACCGATGACTTGCAATTGCAGAAAAGTGTGCGCTCGTGGCACTCACGCATGGAATTTACGATTGGGCTTATCTTGACGAGTGGCTAGCGTTTGGCAAGGGCGTGTAAGTATGTTTTGGCCTGTTCGACTTTTGTTTGCCTGATTTTCAACCCCATTCCTATTCTAGCATAATTTTTATGTGATTTAGGACCTAGTTGCAAAATCGGTATATTTGGACACTCTACTTGCTTAGGAACCCTAACGTAAGGGCACACGTCAACTAAGTCACCACACGGTATTTAGGAAGAGATACCTGTAGGATTCGCTTGGCTTGCATGCATGCTAGAATATTTTCCTTAGATGTAGGTTTTCTTTAAATGTATTTGGCTTAGTTCATTAATATGAAGAATGGATGTAATATGTGAAACATTATGCGAACTCTCTGAAAGTGCGCAAATATGCTTTAAGCTTCCATTGTATTTATGTATATATTAATTCATGCTGAAAGGAGGATGAGAATTTGTGAACTCTGCGCTCCGGGAGCCTAATGGATGTTATCGCGCTGTTTATTTTTGCATGAAATATGTATAATGATGCTAGATACAGTTGCATGCACACTCAGTCAGCTTTCATGAACCAATGTAACAATAAGTCTAGGGTTTTGTGGTTAGAGTGACAAGTCACTAAGTAAATACCTAACCCTTCCCCTAGGAGCCTAACAAACCACCACGGCATACAAACCCCCACTAGAGTACCCTAGGCTACATGTGTGTGATTGGTGTCATAGCTTTGTGGGGGACTGGGAGGTTTCTGATCAGGACTTGACTTCTCCTAGCCGTTTTAGCATGGGAAATGTGAGACCCATGTCGTACAGACCATTTAATTGGATGGGTTAAGGGGCGTAGCCCTCCCCGAACAGGGGGACTATCATGGACCTAGGGGGTTGCAACTCACTTCCTAGGAAAGATACTAGGTAGCCTCAGAGCCATGCCGAGGTAGGTTCTCGCAAGGCGCTAGTCAAACGCAGGTTGACATAAGGGAACTCTTAGGGTTTAAATGAAAGGATGAAGAACCAAAGAAGCCCCAAAGGGCAAGCCCCAAGGAGCTAAGACTAGAACTAGACATCCTAGAGTTAAAGAAAAATCCATGGAAATTTGTTAAACTTAGGATGCGATAAGAGACTACAAGTAGGTGGTTTACTGAGTATAAATTTTATACTCATCTTTGCTATATCTTTCTTTTTCAGGTACATGAGGCATTGGGTCAAGAGAGGGCGTGTTGAGGGATGTGGATTGTCACAAAGGAAAGCATCTCCCAAGGCGTCAATCTGGTCTTACCTTCTAGTACACTTTGTCCTTAATGTTTTCTTTCATTGTAAAAAACTAGTCACATATAGATTCTTTGTATTGAAATGCTCTTCTTATGAAATATACAATTGATTTTTCGAAATGATGTTTTCTTTTGAATTTCATGCATACACACTACACATTATTTTCATTTTCAGTCACGACTCGTAGTAAATATTGGGTCGTGATAGTGATAATAATGTGGGGGTCACACATCATCTTAACTTTGTTTTCTTAACCTCTGTGTACTATTTAGATCGATTCACCTATTTTTATATCGGTTCTTATAATGATTTTTTTTCTTTCACCTAAGAAATTTTAGAAAGAAATAGCTATAGAAAGGTTCTCAAAAGTGATCCCCAAACATAAGTTAAATGGTAAATCACCGAATTTGATGACCTTTACTCACTATTGAGATTGTTTTGACACCTATTTAGACTAGTTCTCATAAATATTTTTGTTGGTAAAGAAATTAGACACTATTTGCAACATACCCTAGAAATTTGGTAGAAAAGGAACTTTAGGAAGACTGTGAACCAAGCACCCGAACCTACTTGAACAAGTAAGTAGCAATATGGAACAAGCATCAAATAGTACTTGTAGGAGTCGATTAGGACAAGTTTCATATGATTACAAATCATATCTATGGACGAAATTGATCTATTATCATGATAGTTAAATCTAGAAACGTGTATTGTTTACCGTTTAGCATAGTTTACAACTTTATACTTTTTGCTTGCATGTTTAGAACTCAAATATTCTTAACATGTTTATGAGCTCTCTAGCATGCCTAGGTTGATTTTATTCCCTATATTGTGCCTTTTGAGTATGATGTATGTTGTGATTGTCATTAGATGGATGCCATAGGAGTTTGGAAACCTGTTTATGCCCAAT